ACAGTTGTTAGTTACTAAACTAGTCGAAAAAGGTGTTAAGGTAGTGCATGGAACGGTTTGCAATCATTTGAAACGTCTCGGGTATAAAAAAACTAAGGCACAAACGACTCCTATGCTCACTACAAAGCATAAAGAAGATCGTATTAAGTGGGCACGAGATCATCTAAAAGACAATTGGCGGGATACTGTTTTTTCGGATGAAACGTGCTTCCAATTATTCAAGAACACTATCCAATATTGGCATAAAGGTAACCGGCCCATCCGACGAGTTCCTAAAAATCGGCAAAAAATTTTTTCGTGGGGGGCATTTTGGAAAAGAGGTAAGACAAAACTTTATTGCTTCCAGCAAATAATGGATGGTCCGTTTTACATTGAGATTTTGAGTAAACATGTACCTGAAATCAAGGAAGCACTTGGTGATCGTTGGAGATTCTAACATGATAACGATCCCAAGCACCAGAGCAAAGTAGCCAAGAATTTTTTCAAAAAAAACGTTCCCGTGAAGATCAGTTGGCCCTCCAACAGCCCCGATCTGAATCCTATCGAAAATGCATGGAAAATTATTAAAGATAATGTAGAAAAACGACAACCAAAAAATTTAGATGAATTAAGGCGATTTATGACGAAAGAATAGGATAAAATCCCAGAAATTTTTATAAATAACTGTATAAAATCCATGAGCGAACGATATAAGCTTGTTATTGAATATAAGGGAGAACGTATTCCCTATTAAATTTTTTTTAATAAATTTGTGACCCCTTAGCCTTCTATTGGTTGTATTCACATGTGATTTTGTGCAGCCATTGTCATATAGTTAGCATATAAAGTTGTTCAAAAACTTTTTAGACAAACTGTATATTTACTGCTGTAATTGATCATGATCATAATAATTATGCTTATATGAATACAACTCAAGATCATAATACTCATGACTAAGACTTACATCACAACCTAATCAGAAATAAAAAGACAAAAATGAAGTTAATAACTAAAATACTTTTTTTTTATTATTCCTTACCTTTTTTAATTCCTTTAACATTCCTTATTATTTTTTTAATCACTCTATACTCTACTAGCATAAAGTTATATCTATATTGTTTTTATTTTTTAAATTCTTATGGTTTATTTAAATAGGTAATAGAGAAAACTATTATTAATTGCTTGATACTTTCATAAAGCCATTACATAGCTATAGACAACCTTATATATGCTGACTAAGAATTGACCAGCCATAGCACTCTAAGTAATACCTTTGGTAATATCTTTGGAGCAGATTGATGTTTAAGGCTATAATATTTTATAAAATTGTCAAAGTAATTAATATTATTTTTTTAATTTATTTATTTACATAAATAATTATATTTCTTTTATAACTTTTTTTTATTTTTTATTTTTTTTTTAATGCTAAGTTGAGACAATACTCTAGTTTTATTAACATAAATAGTTTTTTATTATATATGTAATATATCTAAATTTTCTATACTATACTAATATTATATTAACTAGAACCTACCCATAAGTCTAAACTATCTGAGTATAGTCTGCCACCCTGCTTGCTTACTCAAGCATTAACTTTTTCCATTTCTTTGTTTGACACTAATTTCATTTCTATCCATAATTATTATCTTCTTTTAGTTACCCAAGAACGGCCAAGGTCTTTTTACTTTTGTAACTGTCTTTTCAGGATAAGTAATTAGCAAGCTGACATATTACTGGATTGGAGGAACTTTTTATAGAAAAGATGCCTTGATACTTATATAAAAAATGATTACCAATTTTTTTTATTCTTATTAAAACCAGTATCTATATATTTCTTGCTACTTCTGGTAATCGTTATATCATCAATTGAATGATCGTCATACCACTATATTCTTTTCTCAATAGTTACAATCTCATTGCTTACATGATCTGCATGTGAATTGGCTTGTATGAGAAATGACACTTGACAGGTTATGATGCTAGATATTATATTTATTCTATTCAACTGCTTTTACTTGAAGTTAAACTGGTATCTTGTGATCTGACCTGTGAAGCACTAATTACTGTGCTATAGACCCACAGGTCTTTTTTTATTTTTTATATTTTTTATATATTATATATTATTTTATTTTACAAATTATCAAAAACATTAAAACCTATACATTTCTATAATGTCTATTTACATAGTATTTATTTCTTAATACTTTCCTATACCTTTAAACCATTCTTGTCAAATATCTATACTTCTGAATCAACTGATAGATATTTCTTTCTAAGGGTCTATGTTTTTTATAAAAATTTAATCCAGTTAACTGTTACCTAATATTTTTATTGGATTCAATCATAATTCTTAATTAATGTTTCAAGTTAGCACACCAGTTACAAGCAAAAGAAGTATGGATTTCAACAAGAGCAGGAACAAGACTTTCAGTAGGAGCAGAGGTAGAAGAAGCAACAGGAGAAATTATTTAAAAAGCACGAAAGAGACAATAAATGGTAACTATAAAGCTTATATAGAATTGAGAAGAAAAAGTATGACTACTGTGATGATTAGCATAACTACCATGACAACTGACACAAGAGGAAGCATTGTTAGCAAACATGATTTCAAAAGCTGAAGTGAGGATAAAGGAAAAAAAATCAGTACCCAATATTAAATACAAAGAAGTTGAATTTAAGGAAACAAAATTGACGAATATTCTTGGATATATAATAAGTTCTAAAGCGAAATAACTTAGGAATCTACTAGGTTAAGACCTGTCAATACTAATAAAGTTTTCTTTATAACAAGAAGTACTTAGTGATCAGCTGACAGAATGTTGATATCAAAGCAGAGAAATAAATTTATAAAATCTATAGATATATATATTCAATAACTTTGAAAAGAAAAAAAAAAGAAAAGAATAAATTTGTTTCAAGAAAAGAAAATAGTTTGAAAATTGAATACCTTTGGAAATTAATATGCAAAAAGTTAAGATGTGATTGATAAAACTTTGTATTTGAAAAGTTTAATCACAGTAAAATCAAAATCAATCTTTAAATATTAATTTTTTTTAGAAATTAATGAAAACTAATGGAACTTTAAGATTAAATCAGTTATGCAACTAATGATTTATACTTGATACTGAATTTCTTTTCAAGTCAATATACACCTGTAAAAACCTTAAATGGATTGTTTCAATATGGTTAGGAGATAATAATCAATTAACATATGAAATTAGAATGTATGTTACAAGGAAAAATTGATTAATATCTGAGAAATTAGAGAATAATTGTATAGAAAAAACTGTGTGAAAATTTTGTTCAATATTGAAGATATTTATAGCAAGAGAAAGTTTGTAATTTGAAATCCAAAGTCTAATAAAGAGAATATCAATAGTGGATACAAAAGTAATATGGGACATATAAGTCTTGAATTATATGACAAGTGCAAGAAATCTTATTAAGCATTGTCAATATTTGAGTATCACTATACAATTATAAGAATTGATTGTCAGAATGATATATCAATGAAATTTTTAATTTGAGATTATGTGGAGGCTTACAATCATGCATCTGCATCATCAATCATTCCTAATTTAACAATTGCTTATAGAACTCACAAATAAGTTGGAAAGAATTTGTTAAATCTAAAAATTTAATTTTTTCGAAATAGAAAATTTCATATCAAATATCTATTTAATACATTAATTTGCTAATAATAAACCTATAGTAGTTTTATCCGTTAAACAACTTTACTTAGAACCCAAAAAAGGGTTTTGATTATCACTTTTGCGATAATTAAGGATTTTGGTTAAACAGTTATAATATTCAATCAAAATATATTGTTATATTATATGATCAAGTAATAATCCCCTAAGTTATAAACATAAAGGATTGAGAAACATGTTACAAATTAGTCTTTCATTAATTTTTCCATATTTATATTATTTGTTATTCTTAATAATTTAGTACACCAATTATATTCTTTATTTCTTTTTATATAAATAAAATAATTATATATTTTATGTACAAGGGAGAAAATAATAAAAAAATTGTAAAAAAGTTATAAAGGAAATAAAGAGAAACTTATAGGAAAATTAAAGGTAGAAATAGTAAAATTAGAAATGTAATAATATTTTGATAATAAACAATTCTTTACAAATTATTACAATTATATTTGTCTTTATACAATTATAATTGTTATGCCTCTTGCCTTATGATCTTTAAACCTCAAATATCTTTTCTATGAACTATAGCATACTACATTGGCCTCTGCTATTCAAAGTATCTTTCTGCTATCAGTTCTCTATCCTATGCTGATATTTAAGATTGGATTGACATATGACAATATATTAAATTAAAAAATTTTAAATTTATTGAATTAAAATTTATATTATTATAATCTCTAGATTTTAAACTTTATTTTGATATATTATTTATTAATTTTTATACAATAATTTTTGAGATAACCAATTGCCAGTCTGATTACTATTCCAAGCCACCGTCGTGATGGTAAGTCGCCATTTCGGGATTGGATCGACGGGGTGACTATTCCAAGCCACCGTCGTCGACCGTCTCTATATCTGCAAATTCGATGTTCACAACCTTAGTGCGCTACGAATTTATCTGTGAATACGCGAAGGCTTGTATGATACCATGATTGCAATAATATGATTTTTGGGGGTTTCATGGCCATGCACATTTTCTTACTTTTTAGATACGAATCGAGTATGTAAAAAAAGAGAAGACAAAATAAAAGAATGTTATTTACTTGCTTTGTCGCTTTTTCTCTGCAAGTTAATTTAATAAATTGTATGGTGAGACAGTGTTGAAAATTCGAAAATAAATAGGTAATTATAAAAATCCATCGTCTATACACATCAAATTAAAAACGGGTTAACTCTATCTTTCTAAGTACAAGAATTCCATACATAATATGAACCGAAACCGTAAAAAAACGAAGATAGAAAATTATGTGCTTTGGAAGATGATCGAGACGGTTAGGTGTTATATTTGTGAAATTTTAAAAACCATAATTTTTACTCAGTCGAGTTATCCTTATATTCCATTAATTTGGCAGCAAGGTTAGGTGCGTTCTGCTTAAAAGTTCTTATCACCTTACTATCTTTATATATTAAATAATATAAGGATGAGCCATGGAATAATCGAAAGAAATAAAAATAGATATTTTTTTGTTGAAACACTTACATGATTGGTTAGAGCATAATTTATCTATATCTTTAAATAATTCGATTAGTCGCAATTCGGAAACTTGTTTTGAAAAATAGTTAATTAAAAAAACCAAAAGCTATCAATATTAAAACACATTATCAATTAGATAAACAAGAATTTATACCATTTGAAGACATAGAATCAGTTTCTGAGATTCCTATAAAATTGGCATTATATTTAATAAGTTTAAATATATAGACGTCAGGAAAACAAACTTTAAGTTTTCTTACTTGTTTCTAACCGTTTGGATGTTAATTCATGATGAGGATGATTCTCACAGCATTTTTCCGGTCCTTTAAATACGGGTCCCGTAACCATAATTTCCTCACCAAGTCTTTCGAACACATAATGAACACTCGGACGTCTTTTAGGATCCTCGTCCCAGCATTTTCGATAGATTTCTATATACTCACATGGTGTGCCTGGTACCGGAGTTTCCCTTTTACCACCCAATATAGCCAGAATATTTATCTGACCTTCAAATGGAGGTGTTCCGCTCGAAATTTCCCAAAGTACTACCCCCAAACTGTATACGTCAGACTTTTTTGTAAAATTATCATAATTTTCTTCATTCAATACAGTCGGGTCCACGAATGCTGGCACTCCTTTCAGTATTGAAAATGTTAAACTTCCACGGGACAACACTTTTGACATTCCAAAGTCAGTTATTATCGCCCGAATTTTCTCATCGCGTTTCGATAGAACTATGTTTCTTGTATGCTAGTCGTAATATTATATATAATTTAAATCCTTAGTATCATGCTAGTTATTTATTTACGTAAGCGTAAATGATATTCAATATTTCCTTACCAGGTCTCGATGCAAAATTTCATTAGCATGTAAAAAGTCTAAACCGTTAGAAACCTGTCTACTAATGTCAATCTTTTCTTTCCACGTAATTTCGGCGAATTTCTCTTTTAAATATTCGCGTAAATCACCTAATTCAGCATATTCTAGAACTATTATATAGGATCCTTTGGGTGCTAAAGTACGAAATAATGTTAAACATATGTTTACTTTCGCTAATAAGTATTCATTTGAACATCAAATTACCCCGGCTAAACAAAAAAAAAAGAAAAGAAAAAATGATAAGTTTATTAACATTGTAATACATTCTTATTTAAATATACCTTGTTCCAAGAAACTTTATAACATTTTGATTAGAATCTCTCGTATTTATTGCACCATAAACTTTCACCTGATAATGGACAGTTTAACGGTTACGTTAGTTAACAATGTTAGGCACAAAAGATGTTTAACGTCGATACAACCTCTCTAACAAGATCATGATACGATTTTATGTTTACGAATTTTAATATAACGTATTTTTTAAAACTTCCGTCATTCCATGTTGCCTTTTCCACTTGACACGTACTTCCTTTCGCCTTATGTTCTATCAAATTAAATTCACTAAATTCAATATTTTTTATGCACATATCTTTTAGCAATTTTCTAAACCGTCGGCGATATTTATCAGGTCGGCCAGCAATCTTAAATTATTTTGGCGAGTTAAAAGATATTAGAAAGATTTACTGTATATAATTTCAATTAAATACATACTCACCAAAGTTTCGAAAGTGTTCATCATTATTCTCACGTGACCAACAAAATAATTTAAAAATATGATGAAAAGAATAAAAAAATATACAACAATATCTAGTATAAAATAAAGGTATCAAAGGTGCGAGTGAATTCAGTATTTTATTTAACATCTCACTCTTATATATTCTGAGCTGCAGTCGTTACCTCCATAAAGTGTCCAAGAAGTAGCGATTATTTCATTTTCTGCATAAATAGGTTCCAGGAGTATTGAACGAACACTCTGAGAAGTGTCATATGTGTCAGATACTATCAAAGAAAATATGCCTTTTCTAAGAGATTTGTTTTTTCCATGTAATATTTTCGAGATAGCAGTGTTAAAACCATGGGTTCCAAAGCCGTCCCCCGGTTGAGGATACAATGATATGCCATTATACTGTGTTAAGAAGATCGTGTTCTTCCCTACTACCCTAAATTTCACGTGGATTTTTGATTTAAATGCGTTTTATTATTCTTGCCATTTCATTCATCTAGCTTACCGCACGGTATTTATATCATAAAATGTCCGCAGCTGCTGTGTCTTTGTTAGTTTGTCGATCATATGGTGAGCGCCCACGCCTCTTTGGCACTGTATTCGTGGTGAATTAAAGAATCAAAGAAATTGGGCGAATTCAATGTAATATTTGGTGTGATCGGAAAAAATGAAAGGACAAGCAATAATGGACAACTTAGAAAGTATATAGGTATATTCTGAATTATAACCAACTTGGGAATCGTACGCGTGACGAAAATTTCATCATTTCAAGATTACCTTTCCTACTTCATACTCTTTCCAACGAGGTTTATCCATTGATAAAGATGGATAAAGATAGCAATATAAATGTCTTAATTTTAGAAAATTAGAACAAATGAGTTTTTCTATTGCGTTCTACTTTTCTTTTCTTAAAACTTGAGGTATGATTAGTCTGTTACTACAGTATACTGGTCAACTCTCGATAAATGTCCAAGTATTTAATCATGTGCATTATCTTTAAATAGTTAAATTAGTGCACATCATTAAATGCATCAACTTCGATAATTTTGAAAATTAATTTAGCTATAATTAGTTAAATTAATAGGACAATTATCGAGAGTCATATTTACGTCGATATGATCACCGGTAAATTTACCGATGGGCTATACGTATGGTAGAACTCATATCTATATGCTAAAACATAAAAATATATATATTATTTGCGATATACTGTAAATAACTTAAATAAACTTTAAAATTGTATATTATTTATCTATTTATTTTACTAATATTATCTTATATATTAAATTA